GGAGCTGTTAAGTAGAAGCCGTAACTATCAGACGAGGCGTGATGCCGCACGTGCACCACCAGGCCTGGAGTTCCGGCACGAAGTCGACCTAGCAGCCACATCAGGGTTTCGTCGCTCGTTCCACTTGGGAACATCACCACGACGTCGCATTCCTGCCGATAATCATTTCGTATTCTTGATCAATATATATTGATCTTCATCCATAAATCTTTGTATAAATTTGTTTATATTTCTATCTCTAGTTTCTTGAATTTTTTTTTTCGAATAATTATTAGTATTTAGTATATATATTCCAGTTCCTTGAATTCCTTTTTCGAATAATTATTAGTATTATTAGAATGTAATTATATATTATTAATATATATTTTTAATAATTATTAATATTTAGTCTATATATAGTGGAATTGTAAAGTTTCTTATAAGAGATATATAGGGTTTAATTACAGGAATTAAAATGTTATTAACGTGAAGTTATTTTGCATTTATCGTTGGACCCTTATTTCCCTACGGGATCGGAGGTCCCGTATACGATAAGGCGATATTCTGGCACAAGGAGCAAAGTTGTTCGCTTTGGCCGTTTTCCAAACGACTTCAGATTGCTGGATATTGCCAATTCACGCGCGAAGACATCCTGATGGTATGCCTGACCTAATAGCACTGATGAAATTCACCTCTACTACCACTACCTGTTATGCACTACCTGTTCATAAAAAATTTTGTTTTTCCAGTATTTTCCAATATTTGTAATATTTAATATGATTACATTGATATATTTAAAAAGATATCCTAATGGCATGCTTGACCAATATGTTTTATGTATTGGTATCTATTTATTCAATAAGATTCTTATTTTCTAATATTTGTAATATTTAATATATTAATATTACATTGATATATTTAAAAAGATATCTTAATGATATGTCTGACTAATATTACTGAAATTCACTTGTACTACCGATACCTGTTATCCACTACTTGTTTATAAAAAAATTCTTATTTTCCAATATTTATAATATAACTATTTAACATATTAATATTACATTGATATATTTAAAAAGATAATCTTAATGGCATGCCTGACTAATAACACTGAAATTCACTTGTACTATTATGCATTATCTGTTCACAAAAAAATTCTTTTTCCAGTATTTTCCAATATTTGTAATATTTAATATGATTACATTAATATACTTAAAAATATATCCTAATGGCATGCTTGACCAATATGTTTTATGTATTGGTAATTATTTATTCAATAAGATTCTTATTTTCCAATATTTGTAATATTTAACATATTAATATTACATTGATATATTTAAAAAGATATCTTAATAGCCTGTCTGACTAATAATACTGAAATTCACTTGTACTACCGATACCTGTTATGCACTATCTGTTTATAAAAAAATTCTTATTTTCCAATATTTATAATATAATTATTTAACATATTAATATTACATTGATATATTTAAAAAGATATCTTAATGGTATGTCTGACTAATAATACTGAAATTCACTTGTACTACCTGTTATGCACTATCTGCTCACAAAAAAATTCTTTTTCCAATATTTTCCAATATTTATAATATTTAAAAAGATATTCTAACAGCATACCTGAGTAAAAACACTGAAATTTATCTCTACTACCAGTATCGATACTGTGTTACGTACTATCTATTCACAAAAAAATTCTTATTTTCCAATATTTATAATATTTAATACGATATATTTAAAAGAAACTTTGGAAGAAAGAAAAGAAAGATAATGAATATATGAATTACCATTATCACCATTTTTTCCTTTTTCGACGAACCTTCTCGACATTTTCCAATTTTTTTTTTAACTATAATGATAAAAAACGCGGCATAAAAACGACAAAGAACAGAAATTGCACGTGAATGAATCGTAGGATATTTTATTGGAATTATTATCGTCGCGAAATAAAGAGGCGCCACTTAAAAGGTCACCTTATAATTAAACTCGCTTCCGGCGAGCAGCATGCGAATTCGAAGTGACACGAGGAAGAGAAATGAAAGAAGTGGTTATGGATACATTGGTTCAATCGAATGTAATGCCGTTCCACGAAATTTCGCGATACTTTTTAACCATAGTACTTTTTAACCTCCCCATAGGAAATCAAATTCAGTGACGCATCAAATTTTTCTACAAAATCAATCAAATTACATTAATTTTTAAATAAACATGGAGAAAAACCAGTTTTGCCATATAATTGCATTTATACAACGCATTTCTATCTTATCGATCCACTTTTGTCTTCGTTTCGATGAATTATTCGTTAGAACGAGGGCTAATGCAAGTTTCACCTGTGTTTTTTCCCCTAAGCTTATTAACCGTTGTACAATTTCGTATATTTCGTATATCTCCGTTGCTTAAAAATATTTCCTACTTTTTCCATTTGTTCCCATTTTATTAAGAAAATAAAAGAATAATTCTAATTTAAAATGATGGAGAGCCGTTGAAAAGAATCGAAGGATCGTCTCGATGAGAGCACGTATAACACACGTGTACAACAAGTATCGGTTAAGTGGGGAGCCAAACGTCTCGTTAGACTTTCTATTATTGCAACTTGAAATATCGGTAAATTTATTCGATCAGTTTTCCAGAGATTTGTTTGTCTCGAAACTTCTCTGGTGGTATTTCTTTCGAAGATGATAAAAACGTACTTCTTTCAGAGATGTTGCATTTTCAGATGTTGCGGTATTAGCATAGCACGAAGCTTCGTCGTAATAATGCGCGACATTCGAGGAGAAAGATCGTATGAAAATATGAGGAAAAAGTAAAAATATGAAAATTATACGAGATAAAGAAGTAGAGGATCGCAATAACACGAGATCACGATAAAAATGGGAAAATATCATACACGTGTCAATTTTCAGCTGATGTTCGATCCTCAGATTCGTATTATTACTTAATAATAATATAATAATAATATATATAATAATATATAATAATATAATTATAAATTATATATAATATAATATATAATAACTTAATAATAATAATAAGAATATAACATAATAAAACATATAATAAATACAATAAATAACATATAAACATATAATAACATATAATAAAAAAATGTACATATAATATTTTGGTTCAAGCACCTTTAAGCAGGTGACTAATCCGAAAAGCTTTACATATCTAAACAAGACCAGCCTCCTTACGTAATCGTTTGATCAATAACAATAATAAAATCAATAAGTCTGTTTCCATGAACAAGAAACCACAATCCCAATTACGAGCAAAAGTCGCAAGTAGGGCGTAACAACGATGTATAAATAACGAGAATATAAAACGTGGATATTTCGCCCGCAAGTGACGTATAGTTATCGCGAGATTTCGTTTGACATTGATTCCTATTGGCTGAAAATAGCGCGATAGATAAGCCATTCAGATGCATATAAGGATCCGGTATGGCCGCGCATAGAACCGATGTTTTTGTATCCGCAGGCTTCTTTGCCTCGTCATGGATAATTCAACCGTGACAATGGTCGAGTAATTGGTCGGTTACGTGCACGTGTAATCGGGAATTTCGATTGGAAATTTTTTTTTCTCGAATGATTGAAAAAAAAATTAATTGTATCAAACCGTTTATTATTTTTTCCCCTAAATTTATATATTTATATATCTCTCAACGTAATATCACTCAACGTAGATATGAATTATTACATATTTCGATATTTAATTTCGAAACTTTATTAACGCGTGATGTCTTTCAATTTTTGTATTAGAAAACTCAATAACCTCTCAGAGATATGGTTATAAAAGATAAGGGCGCGTTAATAATAATAAGCTAGAAAAAAGAAGATAAAAATAGATAAATTGTTGAAAAACATACCTGAGTTGGAACCTTCTGTATCCATAGGCGGCGGGGGGTCATCAAGTGGCCTGTGCATGGTATCTTCCGTCTGAGGAGACGAGATGCTGCAAGGAGAAAAAGAGAATGGAAAACGAACGTGTTGTTATTAAATATCGATCGAGGCTGCCCGGTGTGGTGCCCCTTAACGAGACACATCGTTAGCGCTGTATTATTTTTCTCGAAGGATCAATTTTCCGTGGACGTGATGAAGCGAGAACGCGGTTTCCTTGATAAAACGCCAAATTGCGGTGTTTAATAGCTCGCGTAATTGATGGGAACGCGACGATCCATGTAACGAGA